GGAGAAGCAGCTAGAAGAAGAGGATCGGTAGGCGCCTCGTTTCGCTTCATAACGACCTTCGGCGTTGTCGGTGTTGCTTTTCCCGACCCTCCGAGGCGAAAGAGAGTCGTCGACTACTTGTCCTACAATGAGGACCGCCGCCACGCCAGGAGGTGGTCCCTGACCGGAATAACGAGCCGAGAAAGACGGAGGAACGGGGCCCCATGTCCTTCGGTCCGCTTCACTTTGCTGCATTTCGCTGCACCGCAGACTCGAGGGGAGACGTAACGACCCTTGAAATCGTTTGCACCCTGCCCGAGGGACGGAGAGGCCGAGCCCGGGGCTGACGAAGGCTCTTTTTAACACTCTGCGGTCCCGCGGTCCACTCTCGCAACCGCTCGCGCGGTCGCTGTTTTCCTTCGGAACCACTGAAACTTTCCTGACGTTTCCTTTTACCGTTTCGCTAACGGTCAGAAGCTTTGCTGAATTTTAACGTTAATATGGAATCTTTTCGTTTCCCGGTGTTGCGAAGGTGGGGGAGGGTTTCAATGGAGAACGCGAGGAGAAGAATTTTTGAATGAATGGTTTAAAGTCCGTCAGTATTACGCGTTGCTAGGATGTTCGCAAAATGGAGGACCACAGCGATTCTACCAAATGTTCACGAGGACATAATAAATCGTACAGAAAATATAAATATTACTGCATTTACGAGGGTTAATAAAAAGAGAAACGTATCACATCTGATGCGTTCCAAAGTTAGCATTAGTTAACGACTGAATCGATCAACGAAATAGAATTATAAATTCTGGAAAACCATTAAATTGAAAACAACGAAGGAAACGGTACTTGTTGATTGTCCATAAATCCGCTTCCCTTCGCTAAAATTTATTCCTGTCGAGTTTGCAATCTGAAATCGACGAATACAGGGATCGATGTGACTAAATGCCCGATTGGATCTCAATTTAATCGGTAATAATATTCACAGGCGATAACTATCGACGAAGATCCACGCGAGATGGGTGGCGGCGGGCGAGTAGGATTTCTCTCGGTTTCCGGAAACGGCCGACTGGAAGCGGACATTGCGCCGGGCCGGCCGTAAATTCGCGCGGTTCTGCGTCACAATTTTGCAGGGACGTTAATCGTCGTTGCTGTCGCGACGTTGAAATATCGTTAGCCGGTTAACGAGGACAGGGAGCGCGCGCGCGTAGCGTGTGTCGGGTGTCCCCCCTGAGTCTACGAGATCGCCGAGCGTGGATCATTCAGGATTCAAGACACAGAACGCGCGACACTCACGCTAAACTGCGAATTTCTATAGCCGTGCTTCTACAGGCTTTTTGTTCCGTACGGTATGAGAATATCTTTTTTAACGAGACAGATGTGAACACGGGACTACGTGTGGTTGCTGTCGGACAGCCTCGTTGCGCGCAAAAGTGGAGGTTTCGTCTTTCTGAAAGCGACTTTTTTTATGACAGTAGAATTATGTTATATGTAAAAGTATTCTTGATGTTATGTAATGACGATGAACTACAGATCACCAAGGATGACGTGACAAATTTTAGTTGCTCGGTATTTTGGGTTTCTCTGATTGTTTGGACCTCTTCGGATCTGTGGAAGCTTTTAAATCCTTAGGATCTTTAGCACCTTTTGCATTCATTGTGTCTTGAGAATTGCTTGTGTCCCTCAAATTTTTAGGAGTTGTTAAATCCCTACGAGATCTTGAGTCTCTCGGATCTTCATAGCTGCTTTGGTATCTCATTGGCATTTCAAAGATTGCATAGACTTCTTGGATATTTAGGGTATTCTGAATCTCCAAGGCTTTTTGGAGATTTTTCGTAGCGATTGCAGCCTCAACTCTCTTGTATCTCAAACATCCAACAGAACTCGAGTTATTCCAAATATCACATAGAAAATAAGTTCCCACGAAAAATGACATCATCCGAATCACAACGCGCAAAGCGTTAAAAAGTCACGGCGCATTATTCCCGAAGCAAAATCGAAGGTAAGTCTTGACAAACAGTCCAGCGAGTGTTAAGGATCATTAACTGAATTTCCCTGGTAATTGGTCCAGATTAAACGGAAAGTCCTGGCTCGGTTGTGGATGCGAACCGGCGCAAAAGGAGAGCCCGGCCATGAATACGGCGGAAAAGACCTTTCATGCTATAAATCCGTAGTCCTCCTGACCTTGTTAAACCCGTATCTCGGGAAGATCTTCAGCACGTACGGCAGGTTTCAAGAGCATACTTGCCACCTGGCGGCGAACTATCTTCGCCTTCCCCCCTACGTGCCTCTTCCTTTCGCAGTTACGCGGCAAAAACTAGTCGCATGCTTAGCTAAATGCTCTCCCGTTCCTTGTCCTTGGTCCTCGTCCTTTTAGAAAGAAGCCGAAGGAGCAGAGCCTCCGCCGAGCACGCCCGCGCGCGCGCACTCCTCAATCTCTACCGAGTTATTCGCGTTCCGTTGAGATCGACGCCCGATCCAGAAGAAACGTAAAACCCGACCCAAGAAAGACGCGCGACCGTGAAGCATCCCCTATTCCCGCGCTTGACGCTTCGTCCTGGCTGCGATTCGCCACTACCGGCCTTCGAATTTATTCTCTTTAACCTTGTCATTTGTAAAATAACATTCAAATAAAAATAGATATACATCTACATTACTGAAATTCTGTTTAAACATTGTAGAATTGTACATTTTCCATAGACATAATACTGTCCCCTATCCTCTAAGCAAGCTATGTCTAATCCTAAATTCCTTATGTTTCAAGTCGGGAAAACTTTCCTAAGCAAATGTAGAATCAGTTATATATAATACATCGAGTGAACATATTCATTAGGATCTACGAGATGCAATAACAGCTAACAAATTTACAATAAGTCTTGGCTGTCTTCAACCCCTAATCCCTCAACGGTCAGTCCCTTCACTCGTTAAGCATTTGCTTCTTCTGAAAAAAGTGAATAATACAGTTAACAGAGGAAAACGAACAATTGAGTTCATCTAGGAATCGGTACTAGAAAGGAGGAACAAAGACGAAAAGAACTTCGATGACCAACCGATGCGGTGGAGAACCGTCACCGGGAGTGGCCTTGAACCGTCCAATTCACCCGCCTCCGCTCAAGTACGTTCATCGCGGAGTAGTCGTGCACGTCGGCTACGATGCTCGATGGCGCGTGACGTCGTGACGTCATAATCCTAGTCGCGACTTGCAACGGAGCCACGGGATCTATTCGCGGTGCGCCGCGCGGCCCGTCGTCGCCCGCCAGATGGAGGATAACGGTTCCCGCCGTTCCCGTTTTCTCGCTCCGTCCGCCCGATTTTCTTCTCCCTTTCCCCCGCTCTCCACCTTCACGGGCGCGCCTCCGAAAATTTATTCGCCGAAGACGCAGTCCCGAGGCTCGACGAGGTTGATCGAACCGTGACGAAACCGATTCGTCGTCGGAACAC